GTCATTGGATCAAAATGTATCTCACATACATTTTATACATTTTCAAAAAGCCTCTTGCCTTATTATATATATATATATATATATATATGTGGTCATTAATAAAGCATAGGGTGTATGATGAATGAGTTAGAAAAGTAGATAAAAAAATAATTTTTTAGATTTATTAATTTGTTAAAAATGTTTTCTATTAAAGAAATAAAAAAAAGGAGTATTTTTTTCCCCTCAAAAAAAAAAAAAAAAAAAATTTTTAATAGAGTATATTTATTGCCTTCACAATTTTTTTATAATAATGAAAATTGTTTATATCATTAAATGCATTGTTAATAAGTACCTAAAGGCTGCTGTGAACCTGCTGCTGTAGGTATACTGCTGTGTGTTAATCTGATGACTGCTGCTGTGAACCTGCTGTGTGTGTGATGCTGTAAGTGGGCTAATCTGTTGTGGGCTAATCTGCTGCTGGAAATTCTGCTGTGTGTATGCTTCTGTAGTGGCTATCTCTGTAACAGAGGGGTGTGCTAATCTGTCACTCCCTGGAGGCTAATCTGATGCTGTGATTTCTGCTGTGTGTATGGTTCTGTGAGTGGTTACCTCCGTTGGTTCCTCACCAACAGGGTTTTGGTTTGGTGATGCCATGTGATGGCTTGCTTTTTTCCTCTCTTATGTTGATGTTTCTTCCTTCTTGTAAGGTTTCCATCATCAATAAAGGGATCTTTGTTGTTGATCAAAAAAATAAATAAATAAATAAGTACCTAAAGGCACTTGTTAACAAAAGAGAAATGTTAGGGATTATAAAAAAAAAATTCATAAAAATGATCATGAGAAATGTTAACAAAAATCCTTCGTGATATTAAATTGCATCTATTAGCTTCACATTTCAATGCACAAGAATAAGATTGGACAAAAACATACATCACCTTCCCAAACTAAACATCTTTACAATGAGTCATAGTTGCTGATATCAATGGTGAAGAAATATGCTATGCTCTACGTAAATCATCATTCCTAAATCACTAAAAACAAAAACAAAACCACCCATTTCATTTACTATAAAGTTACTATATGATGACTATATACCTTCTAAAAACCCTAATTTGGTTGCAAAAATCAAATCCATCTGCTTAATTTTGAACAAGAAAGCTAGGAAGTCCTATTTTGTAACCAAATTTTTTGACATCTTCTTGGACTTCTTGTCTGAATTCTCTAAAACTAAACCTTCTATAGACAGAGGGCTCAACACAACTTTGAATCTCAGTATCATAGGATGGACAGAAGAAATATGCGGTGGAGAATCTTTCCTCTAGCTTGTTGGCGACAACCCGGTGTTGAACACTCTTATAAACTCCATTGCTCCATGCCTGCATCACAAAGTATGCAATATTCTAAATTTAATGTGTGTGTGTGTGAGAGAGAGAGAGAGAGATTGTTTGATATGCATAACTTAAACTAATTTTCTTATTATGTTCCATGTTTAGAGTTTAAAAAAAAATCTTCTTTACAATCATTATGAGGGAAATAGAAGAAAGAAAAATTATATCCCACAACAGGTAAAACTCAAACCCATATGTTTTATCTAGTAAAAAAACATCTCAACCAAATTTAATATAATTATTATGTTGATATTTGTAAATATTCTCCTACCAACACTTCATCCACTAAGACAAACTTAAGTCTTCATCTGTATATTTTCAAAAAATGCAATACAACAGACTCTCTTTGTCCAACTGAACCTAATTTTCTTATTATGTTCCATGTTTAGAGTTTTAAAAAAAAAAATCTTCTTTACAATCATTATGAGAGAAATACAGGAAAGAAAAATTATATCCCACAACAGGTAAAACTCAAACCCATATATTTTATCTAGTAAAAAACATCTCAACCAACTGGGCTAGCTCACTTAGTCATTCTTATGTACTTTCAATGGAGAGATCAGGGGTCAATCCTCACTAAATACGAAGATTGATTATTTACACCTTGACTTATGTCAAATTTAATATAATTATTATGTTGATATTTGTAAATATTCTCCTACCAACACTTCATCCACTAAGACAAACTTAAGTCTTCATTTGTATATTTTCAAAAAATGCAATACAACTGACTCTCTTTGTCCAACTGAACCTGTCTGAGTTGCAATCCTACACATAACAAATGTATCAAACAAATTAAATGAAACGGTATATAATCAAGAAATGTACCTGAAATAAGTCACCGATGTTAATAATTAGGGCATCTTGATTTGGTTTAACAGCAATCCAATTCCCATCTTTGACTAATTGCAATCCACCAATTTGATCTTGATGCAATATTGTGAGGAAATCACTATCAGTGTGTGACATCAATCCAAAGACCTCTGAAGATATTGGACATGGTGGGTATCTATTCATTCGGAGATAGCAAGTATTTGGCAAACAATTTTCTTTGAAAAATGTGGATTTGTGACCCATTTTCTCAGCCAATATTTCTGCAAGCTTTTGTGCTAGGTCTGAAACTGTTGTGGCAAACTGTTCCATGGTCAAGCTGAATACAATCAAGGAAGATTTTAAGTTAGGAGAAATAGCAACAAAAAAATAATAATGATAATTTCAATAAGCAAAATATATATTGAAAATTGTGAAGTACAACGTGTACTCACAAAAAAATTTAGAAAAGTATTTGAAATTTAAACTATATGAATCAGATTCATCTTAATTCGCACCACACTAAATTTAAATTTATACCATGTATTCAACTTTTTAATACTTTCTTGAATATTTTTTAAGTATGTAATATTTTTGTTTAATTATAGTGTGGTTGAAAAAACGAATTTCTAACCACTGTACACAAAGCAATTAATGGGTCTTATGTGTAGTTGTTATTAAAGTAGGCACCACCTTTGTGTATACTATTAGAAAAAACAAAGTACCTATGAGACCTTCACGTGAGGTTTTGATAGTTCAGAGAGAGAGAGAGAGAGAACATGCATGCAATTTCAAATGCAAGTACAAGTGTCATGTCTCAGTAATTGGCACATACAAGTGTATACATGTTCCTTTGGCATTGTCTCACTATTATAAGAACAAGAATATATCACATTTTTCAATCACTAAAATGACTGATATATGATAAAATATTCTCATTTTCGTTTTATATCAATAATTTAAGTGAACGAAACTTTCAATGATCGACATATACATATAACAATTGAAAAACATGAAAGTACCATTTTCATAAGATGCTTATCACTTCGTAGCTAGCTAGCTGTGTTCCCCAACATTAGCATGTGATTTGTAAAGCATAGGGGTGTGCTCAAGGGGTGTGACTGACTAATTCCAATGGTTGGCCTTGTAGTCAAGATTTGAGACTTGGGAATGTACTTTCTTTTTTCAAGGTCTTAAGTTCCAAATCTCCTAAATGTAAATAATTTCTTAAGACTAATTCATATGGGTTTTGCTCTAGCCAAAAAATAAAAAAAATAAAATAAAAATAGAAGCAAAGCCAAATTGATCTAAATATAACATATAAGAGTTTTAGAAACCTAATGTTTTGGTCTCCAAAAGTGAAAATTTTGTTGCAAAAGACATTTAGAAACCAATTTTTATCATCATGAGAATAATCACTAAAAGGTCGTTTCGAAAAGTCAAAAATAAGACTTTTAGCGATAAAATTTTGAAAATGTCACTAATATATACAGTTTTAGGGATAAATAATTTGGTCTCAAAATAGTTTATTTTTTAAGATAAAAAATTTGGTCTCAAAAGGATAATAATTCATCACTAATGTCCAATTTTTGTTGCTAAAAATATAATAACACTTTTCGTAATAAAATTATTTGGTCTTTAAAAAATAATTTTGTCCTTAAATTTCGGTCTTTAAAACCTTAATTTTTTATAGTGCCATTCAGTTAGTCTCAAGTCAAGCGCAAGTGATGGACACGTAACAAGTGTATTGAAATATACATAAAATGTATAAAAGATTTTGAGACAAGTAAAAAGTGAATTAAATTATAAATATTTTATATTTTATACTTTTTAATAACAATCCTTAAGACTGCCATTAATAGGATCCCAATTCCCAAAGTATAAACTATGTTTCATTTTGTTTCTTGATATTTAATTATGTTAATTTGGTTGTTGAATTTATTCGATTTATGTTTAATTGGTGCCTAATACCTTTTCGCACAAATCTGCATGTAAAATTTGCATGCATTAAAACAAAAAATACCCATGTTTCAATTATAAAATTTAGAAGCAACAACATTTTAAATATAAATTGAAAATCAAAATGACATAATTGAAATATCTAAAACTAAAATGACTATAAGTTGAGAATCAAATTTACATAATTGAAATATTGTAAACTAAAATGATACAGAGCACAAATTTCTAGGCCATAACAAAATTTTGATTTTTTCTTCTTTTTTTTTTTTAGTGGAAAAAGTCTATTGCTATAAAGAGAAATTAAAACAATGAAAAGAAATCAACCTCCTCTTGCATATTGCTTTTTCTTCAATCCCATCTCAAATTTAATGTTTATTTGTTTATAATTTGCTTTAAACATAAATTGACCTATATGTTAACTTCAATCATGTATTGTTCTTAGCCTCCATTTGGCAAGCAGGTTGGTTTTTTGGCTTTTTAACTATTTTAGCCTGAGTTAAAAAGTTTGATTTGAGAAGGGCTTTTTGGCTTTTTGACTTTTTTAGCTTTTTTTGTGAGAGAAGAATGTAATGATTATGGGTTAGATGTGATATTTTGTTTTTTGTGGCTAAAATAACCTATTTTGTCTTTTGTGGCTAAAATAGCCAAAAAAATCCTGTTTAGCTCTTACTAAACGGAACCTTAGTATATCATTTATTGTCATTCTTGAGGTTGTGTTGTCAAAGAATCAACCATTTCAATTTGCTAGTAGTCAGTTCAAATCAATTTGAATTGTTAATATATATATATATATGGATCTGTAATCTTTTTGATTCAATAACATGTTCGAATCTAATCGATTGGCAATCCTTGATACCTCGTACTTTTCCAAAATGCTGAAAACATCAAATCACCAAGTTGGTATTTAATAAACCTTTTTTCTACTTTTATAATGTTAGGAAATTGAGGTAAAATAATAGTAGTTGATTTTACATGAAAATATGATACTAAACTTTCTACTTGAACCTAGGTGTTTAAATTTGACCCACCCTATGTCAGCTTTCTCGGGTTTCTACCAAAATTCAGGCCGGGCCAAGTCATGGGCCAAAAAAATAGGCCCAGGGCCAAGCCCAGGGGTATTTGGGCTTTGGGTGGGCCTTACCATTTTTTTTTTTTTTTTTAAATTTTTTCTATCAAAATTTTATTATTTTTTACTAAAAAAGGCACTGGGCCTCGGGCGGGCCAGGTTTCGAGCAGGGCCTTGAGTGGGCCTTAAGCAGGCTAATGGGCTGGGCCGCAGGTCGAGCCCACAAGCCAGGCAGGACTTCAAAATAATGGCTCGAGCCCGGGCCCAAATGGGCCGAGCCCACCCCGGACCGCAGGCAGGTTGCGAGCCATTTTTACACTCCTACTTGAGCCTTAATATATATGCGTGTAACGATGAGCCCATTTGGTATCTGTTATAAGTTAATTTTTATGATTATAAGTTTTTTAAATTAGTAACTCAAAAACTTTTTTAAATATTAGAAATTTATTTGGTGATAAATGGCCATTTATTTGACATAAAATTTGGGACGTATAGCATTTTTCTTACTTTTTATCCCCCCAATTAAAACTATTTGATTATTATTACCCATCTTTAAATAACTATAAATACTTATTTATCATAAATAGAATTATTTGTTGAAGTAAATATTGAGTAAATAATAACACATCTTAAGTGTGTCATCCGATAATAAAAAATAAAAAATTAAATTAATTGACACTTCTTGTCTGCCACCAAAGCTAATCATATAATATGGCATTGTTGTACCCAAAATTACTCTTATGTGATAAAAGTAAGTTATCCCACACGCCTAGTTTAAAAAAAAGGGAAAATATCAAAAAATAAAATAAAATAAAATAAAAAATGAAAGTAGAAAAAATAATTGCAAAACACCCATTTGCACAATCCAATGTATAAATCATTTGTATTTTTATAAATTTGTAATTATTTTTCTGACTTTTCATTTTTTTTGATATTTCTCCATAAAAATAAATAAAGAAAAAAATATAAATTAAGGATTGTTTTATGAATTAACTATTTTAGTTAGTTTTTAAAATTTTTTACAAAAAGATATGCATAAAAATAAAAAATAATAATTGACTTTTTTTATAGAAATTTTTTTTATTTTTACTTTTTTTAACCAATTGCTAAAACAATCCTAAATTGTGAAGTTTGATTTAACGTCTCTTTACCCGCCCCCCTACCCCCCCCCCCCCCCAAAAAAATATATATAAATATAAGAGTATATAAAGAAACTAAATTGTGTTGGGCCTTGTTTGAGAATACATAATTTTAGTTTAAATATCAAAAAAGATTAAAAAAGTTAAAAAGTTAACAAACTATACACACAAAAAAAAAAATCAAAAATTTTCTTTTCTTTTTACTTTTTGTACATTTTTCTTAAAAAGTTAAAAAAATCATTGCAAATATATTAATTTTTTTACCTCAAATTGTAGTCGAAAATTTATAAAATTATTACAATAGCATATTATTAATTTTTTTACATTAAATTTTAGTCGAAAATTTAAAAAATTATTACAATAGCATATTCCCGTGGCGGCTTCTTTTGTATTTCAATTATACCACCCCAAAAAATTGTTATATACTGTATTATAATTAGGGTTAGAAATATTATAAAAAAATTCAAAAGATCTATGTCCTCTGAAAAGAACAAATAACATATTGCATTGCACTTACTACTTATGAACTTTTTGTTTCAGTGCCATGAATACATGATTTTGATTAGCCCCTAACTTTTAGAAAAAAATTATAAAAGAAAAATTAAGAAGATCTATATCCTCTTTAAATGAAATGTTGCATTGCACTTGAGAAAAGTCATGGAAAGAGAGAAACAAAGATCACATAAAGCTTTTGTAACCCGAAAAATTTTAAGTACATAGATTTCAATCAGAGTCTCCTATTCTGTAATTAAATTCTGTGCGCGTAGATACGTACCTGAGATTGGTGAGACCACCCAAACCAGAAATATGAGCCAAAGGAACATGAAATGCTTCAGACCAAGACAACTGTTTCAGGCAAGTCGCCGACGGTGTTCCCCACCGGTAACTACCTTCGGAGAAGTTCATAAACTCGTCGTTGATCTTCTCACAAAACGGCCTCTTGAACACCTTCATCTGCTCTCTCCTCATTTTCTCCAAAATCTCGCGACAAATTCCATGGTTCACCACTTGGAAGAACCCCCAATCTTGTGAAGCTTTGGCTATCTCTCTCTTGCAATCTTCTCTCTCCTCTTCCCCGAGATTTAACCGACTAAGATCAACCATCGGTAGCTCACATTCTGCAACGATGACAACATCATTTTTCTCATACTTTGACTCTGCATCGACGTAGTCGTCGAAGAGAGCCTTGTAAGTGTCTTGAAATGGTGGCTCTGATGATCCCATGTCCAAAGGCTGAAATTGAGAAGATTTAGAGATTAAATAAAAGATTTTTTTATTTTTTTATTTTTAGGAAGACATGGTCGAGGTTTTTGATAAGAACAACCCTTAATTGGGACAGTAAGATTAGACAAAAGGGCTATGAAGAGACAAAGACAAAATAAGATAAGGTTGTGGTGGGCATGTTTTGGGTAGTTAATTACAAACACAATAGAGAATGGAAAGCCATGTTTTGGTACATGTTTCTTGCTGTTGTTTCGTCGTCGATGAAAACGTTATTATTTGGACTTTGAAGACAAAGGTGGTTGCATGTCTTTTTATGTGGGGGAGGAGAGAGAAATATTGTGCTATAAGAATCACTATTTAAATTTGAAAATTAGATTTACGGTTCAACCTCAATGATCCATTAATCAATCAATCATTCTTATCTGTAAGAGTGTAATTCAGGCAGGTTAAGAGGTTATTTAAATTTAAATCAAGTTGTACTGAGAGTTATTCAGATCCACTTAAGTCTGAATTGTAGCTCAAAATTGTTTATCCAAGTCTAACTTGAGTTAAACCCGTATTGTTCAAGTTGTACAAATTGTACATAAATTTTAATTTTTGTTTTCTTTTTTAGTGCAAATAACTTAATTAATTTGTTAAAATTAGACTATTTATAATTTTTTTTATAAAATTATTAATAATATCAAAACAAATAATTTATATAATATAAGAGAAATGCCGTTTTAATGGCCTTTACAATTTATGAGTGAGAAAAAAACAAATAAATAAAATTTTGTATTATGATGCTTGTGTATATAATATATATTCAATATGATCTAATAATCTAAATTACTTTAATATCATCTAATGACTAATAATTTATATGTATATTCAATATTTTTATATATTTAAATATATAATTCGGGTTTCGAGTTGCTCAGGTTGTTTGATATCTTTGCCTAAAACCGTCCAAATTTAATTTGAGTTTCTAAATTTTTGCCCAAATCCGTACCGAATTTTAAAATATTTTGCCAAAGCCTAAAAAAAATTCAGGTTGGATTTAGGTTGCTCGAGTTGAGCCCCGCCTAACTTGCATTCCTACTCATGTGTCATTTCTCTCTCATATCTTCTCTATTATTAACCAGCCATCTCACTTAAATATCATTAGATCTAGAAAATCGATCTAAAAAATAAGCTTGCATATCATTTTCTAAATTGACTATCGATTCAAAATTTGTACACAAAAAAATATGTAAAAGAATATATAATTTAGGGTAAATTATACAGTTCTCTTTTGACATAATAATACTGACTTCATTTTTAGTAAAGTTAAAACTAATGTAGATAGTGTGAAAATACAAAGATAAATAACGTAAAATATATATTTTCATGTAAAAGAGATAATAATATTATTTTTTATTCATATAACTAAAAATTATTGATGAAAATAGAATTAAGTATTATGTGAATTAAAACATGATGGAAGCTCCATGTAATTACGTTAAAATTATAAGACTACTGTATTTTCTTTAAACCTAGTATAATTTACCCTATGAATAATTAATCTGCATATTTTATTACATAATAATTGAATTTGAACCACACATTATTTATTTAAATAAATTAATGGAGAAGAAGATTTCCCTCTAAACCACTATTTGGATATTGTGGGTACATTTTAAATCCATTTTAATGATTCAAATTATATATTATTTAGTATCTCCTGAGTAAAAATGTATTTACTGAGTAATAATAATAATAATAATAATAATAATAATAATAATTTATTAGATATCGATAATTATATATTTAAATTGCATTTCTCTTAAATAATGGTCAACAAATATGATTTAAAAAACAGAGTACTCATTATTTTTAAAATAAATATAATTTAAACATATAATTATTGATATTTGATTTATGTATTTTTTATTATTTTTTTGGTACGGAACGAACGTGGACCAAAAATGACTAATGATCCCAACACAGTCCAAATAGTGAATTAGTGTCCTCCATTGATTAATTTTGATTCCGTAGCTTTATTCTTGGGCCGCAGGCCCACAGTAGTACTCAATGGACCCCTTCAGAGAGAGAGGGATAGAGAGTGGGCCAAACTAAGCAAATTTTTTGGCTTATTAAGACCCACAATCAAAAATCTAATTTTTATTATATAAAAAAATGTTACATAAGAATATATATATATATATATAATTTGTTAATTTATATTAAAATTTTCATATATATATATATATATATATTACAATTTTCATATATATATTATACATAATGAAATGATTTGTCCGGCAATTAAAAAAAAAATAGATTCTAAAATATTCCTCACTTAAATTATGAGATAAGTGTTACATCAGTATTATGTTTAATTTTTCAATTATTTTATGTTTAAACATATTAGTTATTATTTTTTGGAGTTGATGGTCAACAATTTAATATGGCATCAGCCAACAATAGATCTTGTATTAAAATCGTGTTGGTCCCGGTCCCACTACTTACCGGGGGGGAACTAGCCACAAATGAAAGTTTTTTCTCTTTGACACAACTTAAACTTTTAGATGAATTGGTCAACAGTTCAATAATTACTACTTATGTTACTAATCAATTAAAAATTTAAAACAAAACGGATTGGGAAAAAAAAAAAAAAAAGAAAGAAAGAAAGTTATTTCTCAATTTAATATGCAGGAGGATACATTAATTTAAGGTAAACAGTATAGACCCAAAAAATGTTCCAATAACTTCATAATGTTGTAATGTTGTGTTAACTCACTGCATTCACTTATCCAAAAAAAACTCACTGCATTCATTCTTATTTGACCAACATTGTACTATCTTGTTAACACTATTTTGTGAATTTTATTAGGGCTTAAAACTTGAAAAGGGAAAAGGGGGTGAACTTCATTTTTGTCATGTTTTTGTTAGAAAAAGGAGGAAGGGGATGGATGAGTCAAACAAAGGCCACAAGATCCTGATAATGTTTTGAACAGAGCATTATATAGAGCAGTTAAATCAAAACCACATGTTAATGTTCTACAAAGTACAAAAATGGATTTTGAGGAGAACAACTCATTGATCTAGACCTTCCTCCCAATATGTGTACCAACATCATTTATACTCAAAAGGTTAATCATACCATCTTAACTGTTCTATACGTATTTTAATTGGCTTTGCACATATACGCTTGTATAAAGGATAACTTTTAATTTGTCTGTTTTCTCACTATCTACTCACTCATATACAAAATTTGATTTTCTTGGATTTTATTATTATTTATTATTTCTTTTTTTTTTTTTACAAGTGCAACACTAGGTCTCAAAATTTTAGCACATGACAATAGATTAGAATAAAGAAATTCATAGCCATATTGGAGACTAGGGGTATTCGCGGTTCGGATTTGGACGGTTTGCGGATCGGTTTGGACCCGCCCGCATCTATATGGTTTGGGGAAAAGACAACCCGCAACCGCCCGCAGTGCGGTTTGCGATTTGTGCGGATAAGGTTTGCGGATGTGCGGGTGGTTTGCGGATTGGACTTTTTTTCTTCAAAAAATTATTTTTGACCCTTATTTTTTTCCCATTTTGTAAATATTTATTTTGGGCCCTTTTCTCTCCATTTTCTAAAATGCTCCAACATTAATAATTAATGAATTAAAATTTATAAAATTAAAAAAACAACAAATCCAATTCGTAACACAAACAAATCATTTAAAATCTTAAAACAAATCATAAACTAACCCAAGCATATATTTCAAAATCCTAAACTATAACTCCATATTCATTAAGGAATTTAAAATTCCAAATCACACTTCATCCGGAACAAGTTCAGTTATGTAACAATAATAATATGATTAGTATTTATTCAGTTTCAGTTAATATAATACTATTACCAAATGTAATGCTAGAGAAGTTCAAAAAATAAAGGGTAATTTGTTTTGGACAAAAATATCTAGGTGGAATATATAAATGAAATCAATAGTTAAGATAAAATAATAATAATAATAAATAAATAAATAAAGTGCAGGCAGTTTCTTGTGGGTGCGGGTTAAACCCGCAACCCGCAAAGATGTCATATTTCAAACCGCATCTGCCTACATTGTATTTACGAAACCGCCCATTTATATGCAGATTGGACGGGTTAGACGATTTTTACAGATCGAATAAACCGTTGCCTACTCCTATCGGAGACAGTTGGGTGACTAAATTGTACTGTTTTAAAGCCCTTATACTTTCAAGATGAATCACCTACTAATAAATGAAATGGGCTAGACTGTGCAGGACTACTGGACCACTCAAACTGGAGTGACCCAAGCTACTAGAGGACCCTAGCCAGGCTGAATGGTATGTCATGATTTGTCATCTTTTGGGTCAAGCCGGGATATGAGCCGTGTTGCCCATGAAAAGAGGTTTAGAACTAGGCTTGATGTACGACCAGACCGCGTAACTGGATAGGTAAAGACAAAGTTATAAATGAATCGAATTATTTATAAATAAATTCAGCTTAGTTTATTAAAGGCTCGGCTCAATTCAACTCAGTTGATTAAATAAATGAGTGAAGTTTGAACTTGAATATTAAACTCATTTAGTAAACAAATCGAATTCGAACACATATAAACTCGGCTTGTTTATGTTTATTTAAATTATATAATAAATATATTATTTATATATTAAATAACATATAAATATATGTAAATAATAGTATAAATAAATTATTTATATATTAAATAATATAAATGCCTCCACATACCCATTACGTCGATCTAAACAGAAAGGAGTGTGTTTCAGAAGATGGGCGTTTTAGAAGGATTGCAAAAACCTCGCCAAAGGCCTAGGAAAGGACTGTTAAGGCTTGTTTCGGTTTTTCCTAAAATTTGAAAGTTCTACGCACAAATCCCAAGCCTAAGAACTATAAAGATCAAGATCGAAGGCACAGATCTGGGACAGACACAAAAAAGAGAAAACAAAGACGAAGTTTCAGATTCAAGAACAAAGATGGACTATCAGAAACACGAAGAATACAAAGGGATAAAGGTCAAGAATTATGGCAAGAAAAATGTTGAAACAGTGCAAATGTTCAAAATAGGGGAGAAATCGAGCAACAAAGCAGTAATGGTAAAAGCACATAAAGAGAATTAAGAATGAAAGGAAAGAATCTTACCAGAACAAATGAAGCCGGGGCAATAGTCGCCGAGCTCAGAAATCGGTTGTGACGGCAGAGAAAGCTTCGCAAAGAAAGAAGATTAAAGACAGTTGCAGAAGAGAGATTGAAGCAATGGCAGATTCGAAGAAAAAAGGGCTTTCGGAGAGAGAAGGAGCAAAAAATCAGAATGAAAAAGTGAAGAAAGAAAGGGGCAAAGAAAAGTTTTTGTCAAAAACTTAAAACGGCGGCAAAACAGGGCATTTATTGCGCCTGGAGCACCGGATACGTCAGTCAAAAACTTAAAACGGCGGCAAAACAGGGCATTTATTGCGCCTGGAGCACAGGATACGTCAGACGGCGCAGACGGATGAAAAGACAGCCTTAAGGCGATATTATTTATATATTAAATAACATATAAATATATGTAAATAATAGTATAAATAAATTATTTATATATTAAATAATATAAATAATATTAAAAAAAATTATCGAGCCAAGCTCGAGTTTCATTAATATTATCGAGCCAAGCTCGAACTCAATAAACGAATTCGATAAGTAAACGACCCGAGCTCGAGCTCAGCAAAACTCGACTTGGCTCGCTTCGTTTAGGGGGCAGTTGTGGGGATATATTTTCTGAGTACCAACACGTGGCAAGGTGACGCCGACGTGTCAGCCGAGGTGCCACGTGTCCTGGTCGTAACGCCGAGGTGATTTCGACAAGGACGAGGTTATCTCCGAAGATATCGGAATCCGAGATAAAGAGAATAAAGGACAAGAGTCCTAAGATGAAGAGGGGACTTAACCAAGATAAGGATAAAGCTCTTAGGGAGTTTATCTTTATCTCTTAAAGAGTCCAAAGTAAGCACTAAATTGGAGTTCATAGAAGTCATACTTCTAGTAGGACTTGGATTGAGTATATTATAAAAGAGAGGCACCCCCGTGGGTCTAAGGTATGCAATTTATGTTTTGAGTATTAAGTTTTGCACTTGATTATCTTTGAGAGATATACTGACTTGATCGTCGGAGTGCCCCCGGGTGGAAGAACCACCGTCGGAGCCTTTTCTTTCTATTTCAGGTTGCTAAAGCCATCTATTCTGCCTGTGCTCTCCAGTTGATCACTAAGCAGGCAGTGTGGTCAGATTTTTACCCACACACCTAGTTAAAAACACTAACATAGGAATCATATCGGTCAAACGGTAATTAAAATTCAGTGGAAACTTTACTTAAAAAAATTATAAAATTATGAAAAAATTTAACATCTTAATTATTAAAGTTAAAGAACTTTATCATTGATTTATAATATTTTTTTTCTAAACTACACTTATATTATGTTATTTTTCCGTTTATAAATCCTAAATAAATAATAAATAAAAACCACCAGATCTAGTGGACTAGATTATTTGAGGCCATGTCTCTAATGCTCCATACATGGGCATATCTCAAGTGTCTGGTGCATGAACTTTTATTTCACTTTGTACACATTATTATTCACAATACTTTTCTAAGTCCATTGTTAGATAAGGTGTTGTTAGAGTTGGTGGGATTATGAGTTTTATTTTAATAATTTGAATCGGTTGATATTATAAAGTTTTTTATGTAGATTATGTATGAAAAAAATATTAAATTAATTCAATACTCATATAGTTACGTGATTTCATTATATTTATTTTTAGTATAATTTAAAAAATTATCCATTCATTATAAAAATCTAATTTTTTTTCAATGAAGGATCTTTACACAAAATCCTATGAAATGAATTATTACGATTACCAGAGGGAAACCTGTGATAAGCCCCATAGTCACAATAGTGCCTTCCAATCAAACAGTGGAGTTAAGAGAATTCTTTCCATTTTTACTTATTTATTAATATTATTACCTGATTTCTATCTGCAGAAAATTTATCAGACTCCATCACTGCCTTCTCAAATGAGCACCAGTGTTCTAGCTTTAGTACACATTGGTCCTGCATTCTAGTGAAAATAACAAGAAAAGTAAGTATCAAATCTTGGAAACTAATTAAATAAATAAACAAAAATAAAATAGTCTTGCATGGCAACTATTTAATGTCAACAAGGTCATCTCAAAATCACTTTTAATAAGCAATATGTCTTAAACATTATTGAAAGAACCAAGGTAAATTACACTCACCTTTCCTGAGATTAAAAAATATATATAGTTATTCTCACATTTTTTATATAATTATATTGATCATCTTTTTTGTTATGATAAAGTGACTAAAATTAATGGAGATAGTGGGTAGAATCTAAAATAAAGATATATATAATTCAACAATGATAGAGACCACTAATTTTGGAGTTCTAAAAAGACCACTAATGACATGACACTCAATAAAAAAAAGGAAAAAAATACAACACCAAGGCCAAAACATCAAATCATTCATGGTGGGGCCCACTATCACATCATTAGAGATAGCACTAATTAGTACTCTCACTCATTTTTCTATATAATTTTAGTAAAAAATATATGACAATATAATTTTTTTCATTCATACAACTAACGACATAAGGATGAGAAATGACCTACTTGTTACGTGAATTAAAATCTCAAGCGAAATTAGTGTAATTATGCAAAAATGTGAAGCTAACTATATATATTTTTTTAAACCTTAGAGGAGGTGAGTGTAATTTATCCAAGGAATTAAAATAAATTACTTGCATGGCAAAGCAATGAGTAGTTCTACAACCAACGTAAAACTTAATCACATAATTAAATACAGAATACACATAAATAAATTCTTTTTTTATAAAATTTGTTAGTGAGGTCTATTTAAACTTTTTTTTTATGCATTTATATATATTACTTATTTAATTATGTGATCGATTTTTATATGCATATACTCATTCATGCCCTAGATGTCTACATAGACGTCTACTTGTATTTTTCAAATCCGGTTGGAAAGAAAATGACCATACCATATTTTCAGAAAGTATTTTCGTTGAAGCACATTACAATCATTTTTGAAAGCAATGGTAGAAAATAAACAAATGGTTTCAAAAATATAAGCTTATTTACACATACGCGCACGCGCAAAAAAAAAAAAAAAAATTAAATAACGCTATAAAAAATTATATTAATATCATCAGACCCCACATATCGATCTTGAGACTATTGAATTATACATATATCAAGAATTCAGTTTCAAAAATTTATATATGTCAAATGTATTGATTGTGATTTGTCTTGCAAATTGACAATAGACCTATCTGTATTGAAAAAATAAAAATCAAATATGTATAACTAATATTTAAAAAAAAAATCATATGGGAAATACAAGGTATACACATCCACACAATTAAAGAGGCAATGCCCTATTTAGAACTTACATAGAAAGAGAAGAAGAACTTGGCTAGCTTTTTTTTTCCTTTTGTACGAGTGTGTGGGAGAGAGAAAGTAGTCCATAAAGATTGGAGGAGAGATATTTTTATAGGGGTAGTGAGAGAGTCAATAACCATTCTCGTTATTGGGGGTTAATGAGAAGACAGTGAGGATTGATGGAGTATATGTTTAAAGAGAAGAACACGCGTCTCATTATGCTATCAGAGAAAAATGTCGGGCTTGTTTGGTTTGTTTTTAAGAGTTGTTTTTGAAATTTTTTTTTAAAATTTTGTTTGGATTGTGGTTTTTTTTGAAAAAGATTTCAAAGTTATTTTTTTTCTTAATCACCTTTTATCTCTTTTCTCTCTTTCTCAATCATTTTTTCTCTCATATACATCTATTCAATTACAACAAAATATCAAATTATCTTAAACTCTCAAATTCCAAAACTACTTTCAAAATATACAACCAAGCAAACTAAAAAAATTTCTAAACTCTGACAATTTTTTTTTTTTTTTTTATCTCACAAATTTTTTTTTTTTTTTAAAATCACTCTCTCAAAAGCAAACCAAACAGATCTTGTTTGGGAAGAATACTGTGTTAAAATAGTTCATTAAAAATAAAATAAATTAAAATAATTAATAAAATAAAATATTATGTTTAATTTATAATTATTTTATTTTTTCTCTTATAACCATCAAATTAATTATAAAAAAAATCAATAAATTTTTTAAATATAATTTTCAGACTAAGATAATCCAAAAAAAATAAATATCTAATTAAAATAATTAACTTTCCAATGAAGGCAAAAATCTATCAATAATGTTTGAGATCACTAATTAGTTTTTTTTATTTTTTTTTTTTCCTCACTAATAGTGGATTTAGAACTCATTATTAAGTACTTTAAATCATGATTGAAAATCTATAAAGCTACACACACTGTTTGTTGTTGTTTTTTTGAACGACGAGCTACACTGTTGTTTGATATTGATGAATATACATATAATTTGGAGTGAGGTGGTTGATTTTATTTATTTATTTATTTTTCCATATTTGTACCAAACGAAGAAAGAGGGAGAATATACATTTTAGGGTTTCATTCATTCACCTGGTGTGTATTCATCCAGGTAGGTATACCATAATATCTTTCACACCTATTTCTTTTGGTTCTGATTCTTCCAAGTGTCTCTCTCAAATATCTCTCCCTGAAAAATGATTTAGACTTTTAAAAAAACATCTCTAATGGATCTCTAATTTATCTTTTTCTCTCCCTTTTTTTGTCTTTTACTTCGCTGTTTTTTTTTTATTATTCCTGGACAGCTCATTAGAACTGTACGGCAGAAGCTTTAATTAGAGCTCTACAACAGCTCCCATCTCTTCCTCTCTCAAATTTCAAACCATGGCACATCACATGACAAAACATTGTGAAAAACAATATAGAAAAATGCTCGGACCCCCAATTTTGGGTCCTCCTCCACTTTTAAAGTGATCACACCCTTATGTATGTATGGAACCTACATTATAAATAGTATGAATTATTTTGAAAGTACTGGGAGTCTTCAAAATTGGAGGTCACTATCATTATTGAATAATATATATATATATATATGGAACGGTTTTAAAATAAAGGGAAATAACAATGCAAGGTACATTGGTTGTCTGATATGATGGATATAAATATACTTATTTAGATATGTATATTTATTTGGGTTATATCATCCCTTTACTTTTCTGTATATCTTTTTGTAAAAAATTAAAAAATATATTTATATAAATCATCCTAAATAACCCCAATTTTTTTTTTTTTTTTTTTTTTTTTTTTTTTGAACGGCAAAAAGAAGACTTTATTGATGAAAACATACGAAATATGAAAATTACATCAATAAAGAGGAGCTTGGAGCTAGATCAAAGCTCCAACCTCCTAGTCGGTGAGAAACCAACAAAAGAGATTGGAGAAAATAAATCCGTATCCGTTCGCCAATCAGGTGGATGTGGATTGAGCGGATTGGCGGATGGATACGAATCAGTTTGGCAGTTTAAAATTTTATAAATTTTCAACATAATTCAACTTATGCACTTCCTCAAAAAATAAAAAAGTATTACAGTGAGTGACTTAAAAAAATATTACAATTATTGCATGCCTCATTCATATATTACAATCACATCATGCCTACAATATGTAGTTCTTAAAATATAAACACAATTCAAACAACTAAAATTATGAATAGAGTAATAGTAGAGATTGTATGTCTCTATATTGTTACATCTATATCTGTTTTTTAAAACAAAAATCAACCGCCATATATCATCTTTTTTATTTATTATTTTTAGAGTTAGATTTAAAAATAAAAAATATAGATAAATAACACATTTATTTTTTTCAATTCAAAAAATATATTCAAGTTGAAAACTTTTTTTTAACATAATATTTAAACTCTTTTTAAATTGAAAACAGAATAAAATATCTAAACAAATTGAAAACATAATGTTTTATAAATTACTAGGGGTGCTTGCGGTTTGGCGGTTCGGTTGCAGCCAAATGAATTTCAAATTTGTCATCCATCCAAAACTAAGCGGATTGAAAAAAATCAATCTACAACCATTTACTCATCATCATACATCCGTCCAAAATGCGGCATATCCATTTAGTTCTGTCAGTTTAGGCGGATCGGTATATCCATTGCTCATCCCTAGTCTCTGTAATTTTTATTTTATTTTATTGGCATATAATTTTTTCTTAAAATAATTATATTAAAAGCAGAATATTTTTTTGTATTAATAATCTAATCAACAAATTATATAATTTGAAGAATTTGGATAGCAGATTCTATAATTTGAGTTCTTACTCCTGGCATCTGAGTCCATGTCGGCACATAGGACATTTGTAGTCTGAGACGAAATTAGGGGACATCCTATTATTACTCTTTTAATTGACAATATTTCTATATTATATATGACCTCTAATTATTTTACATAATACGTAATAGTATTAATTTTAAAGTTAATTGGTGAAGATTTTATTTTTATGGAGTCATATTTTATTTGATTCAAGATTTAATTTTCTTTCTTTTTTTTTCTTTTTTTTTTTTTTTTGGTGATAAGGCACACATTAAAAAGTCATGCAAAAAATTGTCTCCACTAAAAAAGTTGTCGACGGTCGGTGTTCGTTGACGGTAAAGTGAACATATAGGTGATATTGACTAAACAGTTGAACAGATAGGTTGCACGTGTATAGACATTTGAACATATAGTTAGACAATTAAGGTACACGTATATAGATAGGTCATATTTTATACAAATAAATGACATTTAAACAAATAAATAAATAGATAAATTTTGTATAAATAGATATCTTTTTGGGCACATGATATCCTTTTGCTTAGACTTATTGGCTAAAAAATTCATAAAGCTCCGTTTGGGAAGTGGGTTGGCTTTTTGGCTTTTTTAGTTATTTTAGCATGGGCTAAAACACTTGGTTTGAGAAGGATTTTTTTACTTTTTTGACTTTTTTTGTGAAATAAGAGTGTAATGATTATAGATTGGATGTGATGTTTTGTTTGTTGTGGCTAAAATAGACTATTTTGTTTCTTGTGACTAAAATAGCTAAAAAAGCTCTTGCCAAACGGAGCCTAGCATGAGTGCTCTTCATTTTATTGATTATATGTAAATATTGTTTGTCACTTTTTTATTATAAAAGTCATAAACAATTTTTTTAATTTGTATAAATGATATTAACTAATAAAATATCTCTACATTATAATTTGATAAATTATACAATATAATTCTAATAGAATATCCTAAAAGTTGTATAAATAATTGAGATAAGTATTTAAAAAATTACTGATATAGATTTATTGGTTATTTTTTTACTAATTTTATCATAAAATTTATGTAAATAATTATCATTTTCAAAAGAGATTTATTTATTTTTATTTTTTATTTATTTTATTTTTTTCTGACAATTGTCAAGGACCTGTACACAATATTTCTAACATCTTCGCGCATAGTGATTATCTAGTCTTCTGTTTTTTTTTATCAGGATTATCTAGTCTTCTTGAAACGTCAATAATAAGAGGTTATATATTTACATGCCCTAAGAAATATAAGGTAAATTATAAATATATTTCTGAGATTTGCTTAAAATATGATTTGTTTTTTATAATTTTAAAAATTACATTTCATCAATTGAAGTTTCTAATTTTATAATAAATGGTCTATTTTATTAATAAATTATTAAGTCAATTAACAGTTTTTAATGATGTTAAAAATTTATTTCAACTAATAATTTTGGTAATTTATTTTTATATAGGAGAACAATTATAAATTTTATTTTTTAGTTAATTCTGTAAAATAATTTTTTTTAATAAAAAGTATCTGTAATTTTTTAAATCATAATAAATAATTTACATTTTAAGCAAATATCAAGAGGTGTAATTAATTGTAATTCATCCAAATATATATGTATATACATGTGAAAAAACTAAAAAGTATAATTGGTTACGATGATGTCGGTTTTGTATGGTCCGATCAGATTACCTGTAAGAGAAAATATGAGTCTTAGCCTTCGTTTGGAATGTAAGTTGACTTTTCAGCTTTTTGGATATTAGGCCTCGTTTGGCAAGTGGCTATTTTAGTCAAAAAGTCAAAAAGTTACTAAGCCTCCGTTTGGGAAGTGGGTTGGCTTTTTGATTTTTTGGCTTTTTTGACTATATGAGCCTAGACTCAAAAGCTTAGTTTGGGAATGGCTTTTGGCTTTTTAGCTTTTTTGATTTTTTTGTGAGAGAAGAGTGTAATGATTATGGGATTAGATGGGATGTTTTGTCTGTTGTGACTCATGAGCCTATTCTGTCTTTTATGGCTCATTGTGCCAAAAAAGCCCAATGAGCTCTTGCCAAACCAAAAAAAACCAAAAAGCCAATAACCCATACCAAAAAGTCAAAGATTCCATTTTCTTTTTATTTTTTACACATCTTTTCGTAAAAATTTAAAAAGTCATCCCAAACATACTAGTTTTTTTTACATCACATTTTAGCAAAAAAACTAAAAAGTTACTAAAAAAACTTGTTCCCAAACGAGGTAGTCTGGGTTAAAAAGTTTCGTTTGAGATAGATTTTTTGGCTTTTTTAACTTCTGTGAGGAAAAAAATAAAAACATTTATGGT